TGACGTCCATTATTAGCAAAATCAAATTCGTATCTTATAGAAAGCACACCTGTTCAGATCAATTGTACTAAATTTATGTACTCACTAAGGCATCGATAACAGTAACAAACAACAAATTTGCCTGCCAACTCCTCAGAAACCATCTTTGATTTTTGTTTTCTTTTTTTTTGTGTTACAACTATAATGATTTTTTAATTTTTTATTGGAATAAAGCAACAGATGTTGTATACGCTTCAGTGTCTGCTTATGTCTACTGGAATTCTTTCATATGTATTTTTTTATTTTTTTCTTTTTTCATCAAAAGGTCGTAGAATCTGAATTGTTATTATTATTACTATTATTATTATTACTATTATTATTATTATTGTTATTGTTATTATTATTATTATTATGCTTACTTGTTGATAGATAAAAAGTCTAACACTCAATAGCAGAAGTACTTTTCATCTTTAGGTTTTTGTTGATTTCAAAGGTATTTGGTGTCAAAATTCTGCCAAAATAAATTTGCAACAATTTCTTAATATTTTTTTTTTTTTTTTTGGTTTATGAAAAAAAGTGAGCAAAATTTTTAACAATTTGCCGTTTGAAATGTTGTTTTGTTTGGTCGTGCAAACTTGAACGGGCAGCCAAGAATGAGAAAAAAAAAGGAAAAGTCAACTGACAAAAATCAACAATAGAACGAATAGAGACAAACTTCCGTATTTGCTTCTTAAAATCTAGAAAAAAAACATTGAAAACTGTGAGTCCTTTTTTTTTTTCTCTCACGTTCAGAAGTTATCTTTGTCAATGTTTAAAAAAAATGAGAAAAAATGAACAAAAAAAAAAGACTCATTAATTTGAATGGGGATAGAAGTTTCTTTCATAAAAACAAAATTATTAGTTTAAGTTGACACTATTTGGTTTGAGAAGTGGAAGGGATTAAGAGACTTTATAGAAGAGAGGAACGAGGGGAAAGGCATAAGGGGGGGGAGGGGGGGGGGAGAAAAAAACCTAACAAATTTCCGATCTATTCGACTGATCTTTTTTCGTGATTTCTTTTTTTTTTTTTCGAATAAGTAGAACAAGTTTGTTATCAGAAAGATTTAGATTGATCTAACTTCTGTTTTTTTCATTCTTTTTGATTTGTTCAAAAGACTTATTTTCACCTGAAAAAAAAAAAAAAAAGAACCACGCTGTGGTTGTGTACAGTGGAATCAAATGTTCAAAAAAATTTTTTTTACAACAGTAGCATTGTACTAAGATTGTTATTATTATCAAAAACGAAGAAAGAAAGAAAAAGGCAGTAAATGTGTGCGTTATCTGTTTTGAATTGCATTCTCTTTTAACAAATAATTTTGTAGACATTGCAATTAAAATTTTTTTTTTTTTTCTTTCAAAAATGTCCAAAAAAATTGTTATTTTCACTGAGTCTTTCGTTTTTTTTTTCTTTGTTTTTTAAAAAAAACTATAAGGAAGCAAGACGGGAGTTTTTTTTTTATTTCTGTTTACTTACCGGCATTTTTTTCTTTTTTAATGCCTTCTTTTTAGGTAGCTTCAGATGGGCTCAGATTTCAAAATAATAAAAAAAAAAGGAAGAAAGGATTACTATTTTTTTTTTTTTGATTTACTTTATTTTATATGGACATATAAGTTTTCGTTTTGCAAAAAAAACAGGAAAAAAAATGGAGGGGAAAAGTCATCAAAAAAAAACTTTTCATGGTAGACTTAAAAGAGCGAAGATCTTTTTGCGGTTTGGAAAACGGATTTTGTGGAGTCGTCGATTGTTGACACGAAAGCTTCAACCAAATTGAGGTCTTTCAGTTATTCTTTTATGATTTCGGGACTGTTGCGCCTCTAATCTCATTGGTATACACAGAAAGAAAGAATAGCACAAAGAAAGAGGGGGAAAAAAAGAGCAAAAGTAAAAGTCGGGTGTTCAGTGGTTTTAAAGCGAAGGTTTCTGAATGTTGTTAGAGGTTTTTAATGTTTGGTACTTGGCTTGTATGGGGTTAATAAAACGGTGAACACTGCTGAACAACAGTTGGATAAATTGCTGATTGGGTTGTTATAGATTGTTATAATTCAACAACTGCAAAGAGTACCACAAATCAAGTGTTTTTTTTTTTCGAATAAATGCTTAGAAAGAACAAGAACAACACTTCTATTCCTTCTTTTTACAGACTGATATGTTAAAAAATTATTATTTATTAGAAAGTTTTTTTTTGGCTCGTCTTTTGTTCAGTTCATTTGTTATTTGACAGAAGAATAGCACAGCAAAGAGCAGCAGCAACGGAAGGACAATACAGTTGGTCAAATGCATGTATTTTTTTTTTTGCCATTGTTGACTTCACCGCAAAAGGAGCACCGGTAAAACGGTTTATAAACTATTGTTCTTTTCTTTTTTTTTTTTTTTTTTCTTGTTTCGGTCATAGTTATTTGTTATTATTTGTTGTTGAAGAAGTATAAAATTATTGTAAATGTGAACAGTAATTATTTATAATTATTAACATGGAAATAGTCAATTTTTGTACATAAAAGATAAAGGAAAAAGTGAAAAAGATTTAGCTATAGTGAAGACAATTCACTTTCTTGTCAATTCAAAATTAATCGCAGAAAAAATATGGTGCTTCTTCTGAGCGTGTTTTTTTTTTTTTCTTGTACTTGCGCTTATATTTTTATACATTTTTTGCACATACAGAGGCAAAAAAAAAACTTTTTTTTCTTGGAAATTAAAAAATTTTACAAGAAAGAATTGGACACTGAAGACTAAGAGACAGCACTATGGCCTTTGTGTTAGCCTTGGCAGTTAACCATTGTTGTTTGCTGTACCGTGTGGTTGGGGACAGACATATTTTAATATTTCTTCATTGAATACAATCAAATTTGCAGGCAATTTCTTTTTTTTTTTTTTTTATTGTTGTTGCTGTCCGTCAATAATTTGAACAATTTTACCTCTTTTCCATTCATTCAACTAAATTATTATTGCTGTTGTTTTATTAGCTTCAATTATTAAGAATGGCACTTTTATAGTTTGAAAAAAAAAAAAAGGAGCAGGGCGAATAATCGCTATTATCCATGAAGCGATAAGGAAAACAGAAAAAAAAAATAAAGAAGAAAAACTTAGAATATCTTTCTGTAAATCTTTTTTACAAGGAAAAAAAAATTTTTTTTAATGTTCTCGTTTATTTTGTTCTCTTCTTCTTAATTTTCTATAGGAAAAATTAAAAAAATGTTGTTTTTTTTTTTTTTTTTGAAATTAAGTTTTAATAATTAGGACAGCAGATTAGCTGTTAGATAAGACTTGGTTCTAGTTTCTTCTCTTTTTTTATGCAGAATAGTTCCTTCTTTCTGCTGGAGGTTACAGATACAATATCTATGTTCACCTGCATTTCCAACAATTTATTGTTTGGGGATTGTTATCATGAGGAAAATTATAGGAATAGTCTGGTAAAGAAAGGATTGAACGTTAAACTGCGAGGTAGATTTGTCTGTTTTAATATATGGGATAATAAATTGATATTTAGATAAGGTTTTTTTTCATTCAGCTAATAAGCTGCAAACGTTTTTGACGTCATTTTATCTTAAGCCTTGTAAGCATATTAACAACGAATTGCTTGGTAACGAAGCCAAAATATTGTTCCTACAGTCGCTCAGTTAATTAATAATTATTGTCACAAACGAAGTTTGTAGCAAGCAACAGTGATTGACAGGCATCTTCGACGGATTCTCTTGACCAATTTAATTACTTTTAGTAAGAACAGGCTCAAAAAAAATTTTTTTTTTTGCTTTATAATCGCCACTGTCACCATCACCGTCATCGTCATTACTTGAGACTATAAGGAAATTTTCGAGTTACCTTCCGTCTGCCTTTTTGGACTAATCGGTTTTAAACGGAAGAAAGGGGACAAAGAGAAGAAAAAAAACAACCAACCTGAAACTTGATTGAACTGATTCAGAATATCCAGCTTAAACACTGATTCATTTGGCTCCGCAACGGATCAACAAAAAAAAAAAAAAAATGTTTTCTTTAAAAAATGCATCAAATGGCAATTTTATTTCCAATTATTATTCCTAGTATTATTGCACCGGAACACTCAGATATAGGCGTATAGCGGAAACCAATAAGTAATTTGGCGTTATTAGTGAGAAAAATGACGAAGAGAGTAAGGTGAAAGTGGTGATTAACATCAAAGTGTTACTAACGACGGTACAAACTGCTGACTGTTATAAATATGTCATAGTTCCTTCCTCTTTTTTTTTTTTTTTCTATTTGCTTTATGCATTTCTGCTACTTTTATTTCTTTTATCTCAGGTTCCGTCTACCTGACCAGACCCAAAACGGAGCCATATTATGTGAAAGACGGTGGAGTTGGTCCGGTGCTGGAGTGTAGTTTTGCTGCAGAATACTTGAATCGGACTCGATATGAGCCAAGTTGGACGGCGGTGATCGGTGAACTTCCAAAGTTGGAATTTTTGTGTTGCTATTGATCTTAAAACGAATGTAAAGCTTATTTGGCCATAACACTATATCTCAGTGCACTCTTTTTTTTGTTAAAGAGCAGCAATGAGTTGTAATTTATTACAGTTAGTTACGTTTGCAGAAGAAAAGTGTTTTTAATAATACGAGCTTTTAGATTTTGATTGTACACTCGTGCATTATATTTTAGGTGGGAAAAAATATCTTTTTTGTTTATATTTAGTGTAGTGTATCTTAATAAGGAAGTAGTTTACATATCAATAATCAAATTTACGATTCTTGTTTTTTGGGTGGTATTCCCAATTATGTACATAATCTTTAACTTTTTTTCCTTTTTTTCTTCTGTCTATCGTTTTTCAAAGTTTAGAATGGATGCAAAGAGAAATACGTGAAAAAATAATACATAACCATGTGCATATTTTTAGACACATAACAAGAAACGACATCAATTTCGTTCGAGATGCATATGAGTTGATGCAGAACGATGCACGATACAGCTTACGGTTAAAAACTGTAAGTTATCGAAAGAATAATGGAAAATATTACTGCACGATCCTCGATAAAGAAAATGGAAGTCAAGAAACTGCTTCAGCCAACGTAGTAGTTTTAGGCTAGTTGTTTCTCTAGTTCATTTCGCTCACATTTTTGCGTAAAAAGAAATAGCGAAAAAGAACTGATACAAATGGCCAGACGATTGAACTGGCTAACCTTGTGGAAGCAGATTCATTCATCTCTTTGTCTCAATGAATAGTACTCTACGTAAGGTATCCCCGATGACGTAACTAGTGCCTTTTTTAATCAAAGAGCAAAATGCGGTTATAAATACGCGCATATCTACAGTTTCTCAAGAAATATTGAGCAAAATTTTTTTTTCTCACTCTACGGAAATCAGGTTGAAACTCAATCAATTAAGTACTTTTTTTGCCACACTATTATATGGCAACAAAGTGTTGAAGGATTGTATGAGTGATTGTGCCTCTGGTGCAACTATCGGTAAACCGGTGACAATCAAAGGCACTTATACAGGGTTAAGGGTTATCAGTCGATTAGAAATTAAATAGATCTAATGTGCAGGCAGTTGGTTGATTACTGAGGTGGATGTTACAAATAGGACAACTAATGTATGCTGCCACTAAAAACCAAGGTTACGACGTCGTTAACAGTTCGTTGTTTTTCGTTGTAGTTCTCAATATCGCTTCTCTTTAGGCCCCTTAAAATATTTTTCCTAGTTTTTTTGATAATATCTTTGGCGCATTATCGTAGTCCTAAATCAACTGATAGGTTACGTGCATATTATTTCAACGTTATGTATCACTTCATCAAATTTGAATCTGGGGAATCAAATTTTTCGTCCCATTATTTCTTGTTTCTCTGTATTTGATGTTAAGTGATGTTAATTTGTGAGGCCAGAAGAATATTACATTTAAATTGTAAAAACAACAAGTCAGAGGAGTGTCTGCAGAAACAAGAAAAGAAGGCATCAGCAGAATTATCGGTATGGGATGGTCATTAAATATCGTGAAGCAAAAGATAATTGTTGGTGTTGAAGTTTAAGCACTCATAAACAAATAATTAATTTTCATAAAAATGCTTTCTGGTATAAATCATATAAAAAAACCTCATGCTTGTAACCGAGCTTATTTGCAATAAATCAAATAGCCGCTCCTTCAAATGTTAGTTTACTACTTTAGTTCAACATAGATGCGGTTTCTTATTAATTTTCAAGCAATCTGCTAATGAACTACTTCCATATTCGTTTTTCTTTTTTTTTTGATTGATTATTATAGTCTTCTTAAACACGAAAATGAAACAAAGCGGCTTAAGATACTGGATTGATCATCCTCATTATGCTCCAATTAATCAGCTGGCTTCCAAAGCCTATCCTTAGCAGTTGATTTATTCAGTAGAAGACGCTAATTACTGCATAGAGGATGATGGCAGATGTAGAATATTTAAGCACATATTTGACAAAGCTGCTCAAAAAAAACATTTGTCTTTGCTAAAAACACAGCTCAGTTTCGTAATCATTAAGCATGCCACATTAAAAAAAGCGACCTATCCGTCCATTGCGGTTGTTATTTTATCGGTTTGCCCGGTTCATGCGAACTGCTTGACGTTTTCTTAGGAGCTAGCAATAATTTGAAATTTTTTACAATTTTTGAAAAATAATTTATACACGTGCTTTAACTCAGTTTCTTTCTCTACTTATTTATTTATTGCAGTACAAAACCGTCACACAGTTATCTAAGAAATATCAAACAAAAACACGGTTTGTCTAATATAGCACAGAATAAACGGGGTTTCAAATTTAATTTTATAGAGCATTTTATAGAACAAACATCTGATTCATTTTTTATTTTTTGCTTTTACTATTTTAGTTTTAAGTTGTAAAATAAATGAAAAAATTTGCTAAATAGTTTTTGATTTAGGGGGAATTTTATTTTTAAGTTTTTCTTGTAAGTAAATAATTGTATTCCAGAAATTTAGCTTGTTACTCCTGCTTAAAAATTTTTTTAAAAAAAATTGTGGAACATCTTTAAACAGATCGACGAGGTATGAGTAATTGTGAAGGAATAGGAGCCGGAAATTCTTATATTTCTGCCTTGCAGTGAAGAAAATAGTTGGTTACTGAAAAAATTACTAATTTATTTGAACCATTATTATAACTTTCTGATGGTCCAGTTCTTTAAACAACTTTTAACAGTCTCCTACTCTTTGCTAGCCATAGTTTTGATGTGCCAGCCAGTTTATACGATTAGCTACATTCTAGATTTTAGAATCTAAAATGAACTTGATTTTTGACAATGTGTATAAGGCACAGAAGAGCACATTTTCATGGTAAAACTGTTTTAGTAGCTCCTGAAAGGCCTGAAATTTCAAAGGAGCCAGAAGGACATGTGGTGGAGGGCGAATTTATTAGTATTGAGTGTGAATCGAATTCCGGTAACCCACCTCCAACTTTCACGTGGAGGTTCAGTAACAACACCGAAGTACCTAAAGAGTGGTTTCAAGTAAAACCAGCAACTCCATCTAATTCCGTTTCAAGTTCTATTCTTCAGTAAGCATTGTTACTTTAGATCACTTATTCAAAATTATGGACTAAATAAAATACTTCTGATTCAAGTTTCGATTTCTCTCATTTTATACTGTTGTTAGGTGGCGGGCAAGTTTTTTTGATAATGGGGCGTCGTTAACATGTGAGGTGTGGAACAAGGCGTTACCTGTTGGACAGCACTACGACGCTACTTCGAAGGCTCTTAATGTGAACTTTTTCAAAAATTTTTGTTCTCTTTTTTACAAAATTATTAGTATTATTTAGGATGTAGTACGAACGCTTCTAATGTGTTTATTGAATTAATTTTCTACTTTTCAGGTCTTTTATAGACCTCGAGTAAAGGTCGGGCCTGTGAGGGAGTACAATGTTGAGGAAGGTGAAAGGACTGAAGTAACTTGTACAGCAGATGGTAATCCAGAACCCACAAAGTTTGAATGGAATAGCGTAAATACAGGTGGGGTACAGTTGGTGCAAACAGCTAAATTTAGAGATTGAATGAACCATTTAATGTTTATTTGTGCTGCAATTCAAATTGTTTTTTTCTCTATTTCAGGCGAACGACATGAAACAGCAATATGGAGATTTGCTGCCGAAAAACGACATTCTGGCGAACTTAGGTGTAAAGCTACAAACCGTGTTGATAGTGGTTATAACACATTAAATTTAAATGTGCTTTATCGTCCTACAGTGACAGTTCAAGTAACTATCAGAAATTCTGACATCAAGTTTAACAAGTTTTACGCGCAGATTTTGTAGATATGTGTGTTATAACTGTGATGGTTTAGGAGTTGTTTACCCCAGCTGAGGGGGAAACGATAACCTTGAAATGTACCGCCGACTCTAATCCAGCACCAGATATAGTTTATTGGCAAATGCCAAATGGCGCTAGACACAATGATTCTCATCTAATTCTAAATTCTGTCGTACGGTAACTGATACTTTCTGTTGCAGGGTTTAAAAAAAATTTTAAATTTAAGAAGTTCGAAAGTTAAGAGGGCTAATTTTTGCTACTTTTTTACGATGGAGACTTTGCCACTGTTGATATGCTTTGGTTTATTACTTTAAGACAGCTGCAGTTTTTGGTAATTAAAAAAGGGACAGTGAACGAAGTTTGGAGAAAGTGGAATTTGATTTGGGATGGGAAGAAGAAAAATAAAATATTTGAGTACTGGCAAATAAATGGAGAATATGGAACTGGTTTTTGGCAAAATTAATCAGTGATAGCCCAGAATAGTAATCTCTGGTCTTTTTTGTTTCACTTTTTTTGAAAGATTTTTGTTGATGCTTCTATGGAGTTTTTCGCTAATAGTTGGGTAGGAAACAAGTTTCTGATTTTTTCTAAGATTACATGATTTCTTTACAGATCAGATTCGGGAAATTATACTTGTGTCGCTATGAATACAATGACAGTTTACGGCCATCCACCGAAGAATTACACCCGAACAGGCACCGGAATTTCGGTTGTTGACGTTAGTTACCTTTATTCAAATATTTCATACACTTTTGTTGTCAAGTTTCCAGCTTCATCAGGAGAGAAAAAATAGGAAAAGTTTTATTAGCACTGGAAGGTGTTGAAATTACAAATTTGCTTAGGTACGCTCAAAACCTGGAAAAGCAACAATTCGGTCTTCTGAACCCACCGTTGTTATTGGTTCTCGTGTGACGCTTACTTGCGAAGTTTCCGACATTGGAAGCCCAAAAGCACAATACCGATGGTCTTCTCGTACCGAAGATGATACATTTCGCGGCATTGAACAGGCGTCGGATTCTATAGTTATTGAACATGCGACTTTAAACAATAGTGGAGATTATTACTGCACACCGTTCAACAGTATTGGAGATGGCGGTGAAGCTCGCTTTTTGCTTGAGGTTTGAATATGCAAAATATTTTATTTGGATGGTCGATTTGAGAAGAACAGTTTAATTTCAAGCAGCAATAAGCTTTTTCAAATTCTTCTTGCTTATCCAGGTGATAGAGCCTCCGAAATTTACCACTACACTTCCGGGAAGCAAGATTTTGAAAAATGAAAATGCTGTTTTGTACTGCGAAGCTGAAGGTTATCCTGCTCCCGAAATTCGTTGGTTGAAGAATGGCTACGATATCACCGATTCCAACGATTCCCACTGGACAATTGTGAGCGAACGGCATGATGAAAGGTTTATTCTTTTTTGGGCTAAACTAAAAAGTATTCAACTAAATAGAAGATTTTTCGAAGACAAAAGTTCTAGGTGCTAAATCAGTATTTGCAGTTGTCCAATTGGCAATTACTGCGCAATCCCAGTCGCATCACAGCTTCGATTCGTCGAGCCTTTAAAGTGGAGTGATAAAGGAATTTATGAGTGCTTTGCTAAAAACGGCATTGAAAAGTTGTCAGCGCAAACGTCGTCAAGAATTAGTGTTTTTCATAACCCAGTAATTCTCAACGAACGGTATCCAAATGAAAGTCTCGCAGCAGCAGATAGTTCCAGCAATGTAAGTTCCAAAAAAATTATTAGTGTTATTTAAAATTTGAAAAATTAGTTTGAAATCTACGATTCTGATTCGATTGGTTTAGGCACGTATTGTATGTCAAGTTTCTGCAAATCCCGCTCCTAGAATTGAATGGGTAAAAGGTTCCAGTGAAGTTCACAGCGGCAATAGTCGTTATACAATAAATACTATGGCACTCATTGGCAAAGTGGATGAATTTGAATCAGTTTTAGAAATACACGATTTAGTTGAATCAGATTATGGCCCATACACTTGTCGAGCTATAGGTGACACCGGAGTTAAAGTGGAAGTTGTCATTAACTTGCAGCAGAAATGTTAGAATTTTATCCAGATTAAAAATTATATGTTTACAGCCTATTTTTTTCCTCCTTCCAGACAGTTAATCTTTTTTCTACTTTCTCCGTTTAGCGCGACCTCAGTCACCAAGGAATGCTCGAGTAATTCTGGCAGCATCTGGCTGGCTACTAATCGGATGGCAGTCAGGATTTGATGGTGGAGAAGAACAGAAATTTCAGCTGGAATATCGTAAAACAAATCCTTGGAAAGACGTTCCTGATGGAGCTGATCCCGTAACATTTTACATCAACGGCGGAAATGCTTCATCTGTTGTTATTTACGGCGTGAGTTCTTAAGGAACTATGTAGGACTTTATAGGGGCTTTTGTAATAGGAAAACCGCTGCTATTTTTGGTGGTTTATAGCAACAGCGTGCCATTCATCATTTTTTTTTTTTTTTTTT